TATATTAAAATAATTCATAGAAATACCCCGGAGTATTACTACTTATAATTATTTTATTATCCATATTTTCTGACGAATAATAACCGAAACCTCAACAATGAAGTATTCAACACTTGCTGGTGGATGGGCGGTAACCATGGTCCTCTATCACGATAGGCCAGTGCGCTATCCATTACACCACGACGACAGTGTGAAATGTCAGTGAATATTAGCGTGTTAGAGTATTGTTTCATCCGTCCACCCCCCCCCCTTTTCCCCTTAGTTGTTGAGAATGCTGAAGAGATGCACGCGTCGTAAGGTAATTTTCCCATCCATGTATGGGATTTTCCACTACCATGTAGGTGAATTTTACTCCAGAATGCGTTAATTTACTTTACCTGTTAGGAAAACTATGTTTCCCCCAGACGTTTGCGAATATTGCCTTCCACTTGTCACGTAATTTTCCCATTATTTTTTACAGTGTGCCAGTATATGTGGCCTACTGTATCACTGCGTGTGTGCAAAATTCGGCGGGGATCGGTAGACTGGTCCCCGACATGCGATATAATTGCTCAATTTTTTTAATGTGGTTCTATCTTCATTAATAGTTAACAAAATCGTCATGTATTGGCATATTTTATGTTAATCATAGATACTGCAATGCATTTAGTTAGGTTGAAATTGTTTGGGCCATATGATACGATAACCGAAAATATTTGCATTGCTGTAATTTAAAATATGTAACTGCCTTCCTAATTAATAAAAATCCATAGGAATTACAAAATAATACATTGTCAAATTAATTTGGTGGATTTCAGTTGTTTTGTTCCAAAGATAGGAGACAATAGTTTATTTTTAATTTGGGGTTATCTTCGGAAATAGCGGACAAATGATATTTTTTTTATTTGGCCTAGATGATTATGTGTTTCTATAGATACTGCGAGCATACAAAGTTAAGTTGGAATTAGTTATAATGTTCCGTAGATATCGAAAACTATGCAAAAATATTTTTATATTGCAGCCGTTTTTAAAATAATTATCTGGCCTTGAAAAATAGCCTATCAATTTGCACCGCCTAAGTTAGTACTACTTGTTTGCCAACATACATAATAATATTTTGACTGTTTCACGTTACAAAACTTTTCTTACTCAAGTCGCATTGTCTTACAAAATGGCGGGGGAAAAGGTTAGGTGTAGACCTTTAATTGTTGTAGCAATAGTGCTGCCACATACTGCAAGATTAAGTTGAATTTGGTTTCATTATTTCGTATACGGCATATTAAATTAGAATATTTATATGGCCACCATTTTTAAAATAAGTGTTAGGCCCACTTTAAACATGCCCGTGTACATGGCCTACAGTAGTGCTACATGGTTGCCTAGTTTGGTTAGAATCAGTTGATTGTTTCCCGAAATATTGCAAAACCTTTATTATTTATGTAGCGCTATCATATAAAATGACGGATAAAAGGAGCAATGTTTTGACCGATTTTGTGCTTATACTTTCAGCAAGTTTCGTCAAAATTATTCAAAAAGTATGGCAAATGTAGCATATTATCATACAATATTTATATGACCAGTGTATATCAAAATAATAGCCTTATCCATTTATATTGCAGATATTAAAATATCTTAGTAAAGTTTTACTTATGCGACAAATTTGGCAGGAATCGGTTGTGTAGTTCCAGAGATATGATGTAAAAGCATTTTTTTTTTTGTTGCACTATCTTCCAGACAGACGTGCATGAGTTTATACATCCTGCGGAAAGAAGGCTAAAAATGGAAACAACGAAACCACCTGCTGTTAGCTGTGTTTATAGTTGGAATTTTCTTTGGGATAGCAGAGAACAGACATATCTGTATAGCAAAATCGTCAAGAAGAGGGTAACTCGTTTTCAGCGACGTGACATAACAACGTTAATGCAAGTAAAATACGAAGTCCATTGCCACCTGTGAAGTTCTAACTCACGGCACTCGGTTTACAAGACCAGTGCTCTAACTTGTTCCCCCCCCCCCTTCTTTTTTCTTCCTTTATTTGACGTTGTTGTGACATTTGACGTCGACGAAGCTCCAGTGAGACCGACTTGGTAACAAATTACTAGCGCCGAAAGTGAACTGAAAATGTGCAGCGTCAGAGGCGTCGTGGCGCGAACCCGAGACCCTCCGACTACCCATGAGATATGAGGGCGGGGCTAAAAATTACCATGCTTGGAAGGGATTTAAACCCGGAACCTTCCTCTGAGGTAAAGAGGCAAAGTTAAGAACGTGGTATCGAATAGGAGTATTCAAAAAAACAATAACTACTTTAACACTCTTTTCTACAATACAGGTTTGCTTGTTCGGTTGGCAAATATGTAATCGTTGTTTTCAGGTGACATATCACTTTGCTCTTTAACCCTACTACACGACAGCATCCATCAAACAGTGAAGATATCGACACATTAAAAATATATTGTCATGTTTCAGTTCAGCGCATGTGTGGAAAATTGTAGTTTATTTTATATTGACAAAAATGAAAAAAAATTGCAAGTATTTGAATACGAAAACAGGAAAATATTATCGGGATTTACGAAAGTTAGCATTTTTTTTTATTTCGACGATACTATTATAACGAAGAAAATATTGACTACACGAATTTTCCAACTAAGTCGACTCACGCTGCTAATAAAGTAATAAATAGTACTAAATGGAGTGGTTCATTATTATAAACTGTATTAATTTTCATGGTTATTGAAGAAACCATTATTGTAATATTTTAACAATATTTTAAATCTTCAGTTGTCTAATGTGTCATTTTGAATTAAAATTTAAAATTTTCTCCCACTTTAAGGGTAGAGTGATTATGTTACAGAAGTCATGGAATTATCCACATTACCTTTGTATGTACAAGTCACATCATTGTTAGAGATTGATACGTATTTATTAAATGTAATTTCATCCAAGTCTGTAACCCTTACCACTTTGGTGAACTGAAAGTTTGTTGTTTCTTGCATTTTTTCCTGTCGACATTTTTTTGTCAATTGACAGCATTGTTAGCTATTGATAGTTATTCGCCAATGGTAAATTGAAGCCTAGGCTACAACCCTTACTATCCTTGTGAGCTGAAGAACCCGCTTTATTTATTCTCTGCCTACATATACTTATGCAAGAACAGTAATAATCACGCGCCTGAGAAACTGGTTTGTTAGAACGACCACTGCTAGCCGCGTCTCTCTCTCTTTTCCAGGCTAAATATCACGAATTTTTGCATCTTTGAAGCAACAGCTGGTAATATGAACTGGGCAAGAGTTTTTTCGGTGTGCTCCTTTTTCCAACCTTTTTTATTCCATCATAGCATGTAATATGTATGTCAATGATTTTTGGAAAATTATTAAGAAGGGGTGTTTTTTGCCTCACGAATAATGGCGTTACTCATAATGTCATACGAAGAACACACTTCAAACGTTCTTGAAATGGTAGATTTATTTATTCAAATTGTATTATGTTGAGAGACCCCAAAATACGTATGTTTTCATTTCTTGAAAAAGAAAAACAGAATAAATTGTCAGCACGCAATTAATGTACGTCGTGATACATTGTTTAACAAGATTACATGGACAGGATCAAATGGAAGTTAAACCTACAGTACTAATATGAGAAATGAAAATATCTAGTTGCCACACGTTCTTTGATAAGACTGCGTTTATTGAGGATGAACAACGATATTCTCACAAACTGAAACAACGTAGACCTACCGTAATGCATATTTGATGCAAGAGTTCCAATGTTCGTCTCTGATCAAAATAAATAAGAAGATTACATGAAAAGTTAACTTGCCTACTGCAGAAGTAGTCGGAAACTATTTTTTTTTTTAATGATTGAGATCTGCGCACGTTTTTAGTGTAATCATTAATCATCATCTATTAATACCCTTATATACACTAACACCACAAGTTTCAACTTTTAAATTGCACTACTAAATGTATTGATAGTTTAATTTACTTCAAATTAGGAGAAAATTGCAACCGTTATTCGATTAGACTCTATCATACAACATAGTAAAACATAAACTCGTTTCGAGATCTCTGTGTTTATCATTAACACTTCGGTTTCATTTGATGGAATACTATAGCACTGACCTTCACTATAAAAATAACACTGATGAAGCAAAATATTTTTGATGTATGTCGTGTAAATTTTATTTGCAGTAACGCAGAGCTGGAGCCACCTTTTGTGAGGGAGTCTTGATTCCAGATTGCAAGTGTTTGACACTTTGTTTCTTTGTATTGATTGGTTTTCTTACACAAAGTGAATGTGTGTTTTAACTATAGGGACCCGAGCTGCCACATATATGACCCAGTGCGTACAAGACGTGAAACTGGTTTTCCAAGTCATCATGTTTAAGAAAACTAAACACAACTAAGGGTGTAAGTAGCATTATCTGGAACCTGGAGGCTTTTTGAATGGTTGAATTTTTTGACATTTTCACATTTACACGAAACTATGTACTTAATGATTCAATATTATATCATTTCGGTGGAATTTTGTAAGTTTAACGATTTGAAAAGGCCTGTAAACAGCTACGTTAGTTCTGAAAACTAAATATGTATGTATATGTTTCAACCATGTTATTATGAGACTTGCAGAAGAAGAAAGTTTCCGAAGCTTTCTTGCAAATTTTACATAATTTCTCGTTTAAAGTCAATGTAATTTGTTTTTATTCTGATTGACAGCGTACATATAAAATTACATACCTATTAAAAGACATATATTATAAAAACGAATTAATATTATAAGGAAGACGATAATATAAGCAGAATATTTTTTTAATTTCTCATATTGTAGATATTTGTTAAATTATAAAAAGAAAATGACATATATTTACCTTTATATGAAACAGGTTCATATAATCTATTCCTCTGTAGAAAAATACAGTAATTATTGCACATGTATAACTTAATAAGAGAGGTATTGAGAAACGCAAAGGCTCTTTAATCACGTTACTAAGAGTAGTAGTAAAATTTATTCGAATTAACTTATGCTGCATCATGTGAGATTGGAACTCCCTACCCCGGGGTAATGAGACCAGTGCTCTACCTCCGAGCTAAAGAAACTGTATTGGATAAGAAGCTATCTCAAAAAGCATATCACAGAGGCAACATTTATCACATCTTGAGTTTATTATTTAAAAATACAAATCTCTGGTGGCATTGGTGGCCAGGCGATCGGATTTCTTCTGCAAATCCAACGACGAGGAAAATTTTTCCTCGGACTGGTATTAATGGCCAATGTCGAGTGGGGAAGAGCACCATCCTGTTGAGAATATATATCTGGCTGAATGTATTGTACTTGTGAAAAGAAAATTGTTCCACTATGCCCAAGTAAACAGCTGAGATCACTGAAGCCTCTGATGAGAGAAATGAACCCACCACACGGTCATGAAACAAACTACAAAAGATATTGATTGACATTAGGAATATCGCGCACATTTCCACGCAGACGTCGGACCCCCAAATCCTCGCATTGTCTCGGTCTACCTTTCCCTGACACATGAAAACAGGCTTCGTCTGTGAACATCACCTTTTTCTTCAGGCAGTGTTGGTCTTCATTGATGTGGCCAAGAATGTCAGTGGCGAATGACGTGCGTTTCTGTCGTCTATCATCAAGTTGAAAGGCTCGTATGAGAAACACACCAACCCTAATGGTGGTTTGCTCCTGTACCTTGTACTGAAATTACGCTGGACCTTGATAGGAATTGGTCTCTAGAATCCATTTAACGCATTGGGCCATGAGCTGTGGTGTCGCGATTGGAATAAACTACATATGTGCATAAACAGTATACAACAAACTGCTTATTATTTGCAGTTTCCAAAATACACGAGACAAAGTTTTGTAAATATCTTTTTGGAACCTACTGTATTAAAATCATATAAATAGACTATACATACATCGTGCTTTATTTGTATTTGCTGGGATAGCGAAAATCTACATCCCAATAAACATTTTTAATGGAAGATTTATAAATAATTATGTACATAATAACATTGTCGTTAAGAGGAGGTAACTGAATACACATTTAGCCAAATGCTTCGCGTAGAGCGTGCTCGGAAATCATGAAAAAATAAGCTGCCTCCTGTGGGGTTACAACTCACGACCCCTGGTTTACGAGACCAGTGCTCTACCTCTGAGCTAAAGAGGCGATGTACTGTGAAGTCTAGCTAATGGTTTTATTTCGTAATTTCCTGGTTGTCTAGTCTTGTTAAAAATAATAGTTTTCTGTTAACACTAACCTGATAACCAGGGAGGCAAAAATTCTAAGGGTGTTTATAAATACGTCAAATTGCCACTTTGGATTTACGATTGTTAATTATGTTGTTCACAAACAGCCGGCAGCCACTTGTTTGCAACTGGTAACAACCGGCACCATAGTATGTAGATACAGCTAATTTTTTTGGTGAATATCTGAACCATTCGATTAGGTTGAGGGTGAAGTGCTGCTGTAATCTAAGTATTCTTGAACTATACAATATTTATCTCAACTTAGAAATCTGTAACTACGAATTTTCGTCCTAGGTCTGAATGGAGCTCTAATGGCAGCCCAAACTAGGAAAAGACGTGTTCCACGAGGGCCTCAGCTACAGTACGGTCTTCTTAGTTCATTATCCTGTGGTACAGGGAGATCCATGGCAAAGCATCTATAATGTCTACCGCCATTCTCTTAAATGAATCTCCCAGTCCCAAGTCATATCTCTGGGTGCAACCTTTATGAATCGTCCATATTTCGCATCAATACATCCCCTAGCACAATTTCGCAGTATAATGAAACTCCACTGCGAACAATATGTTTTGAGCTCAGCGCCAGAACTACCTATATAATCGCATTTGGGTCCATAGTCTACTTATTTCCAATCCAATAATAGGTGCGTAATTGACTTGTTTTATTAGTCTTTCACAATGTCATCAATTCATGTAGATGGCAAATCTGCCAAAAAATTACCTTAATTCTAGTCTCTCTTTTTCTCCTATCCTTCACAGTAGTGACTGGCTGGTCCACAGCCTCCTAGATAGTAAAGATGTTCAAGCCTGTGCTGTATTTAAAAGTCATATCACAAACAGTGCTGGATCTATTGGTCGATTTGTTTTTATGTATTCTTGAAGTTCAGTAACCATCGCAATGAACTCGATCGTAGGACAAGTGGTTTAATATACAGGCTTTCCGAAAAGTTTTACCCAGATTAAAAACATAACTTACTTCTGCTGTATGTCAGATAGAGATGTGATACCAGTACCGAAATTTTGGCAAACGAACTAAATTTTTGTTGTAACAGGACAATATATCAGTAAGTCTCCACGTGATCATCCTTGGCAGCACGCCGCATCACATTTAGTCGATATTTAATTTCTGTCCATAAATTAGTCAACATCACAGCAGCATGGATGCCAAGCTGTCGGGCCATCACGACCGATCCATCATCTAGGAAAAGCCGTATCAAAATAGACACGAACCTCCAATCCCCAATGAGGTAGTGCAACCTCTTGTAGAAAAATTACAGTTTGGTGATACTCAAGCAACAGAGGAACTGCGAACGATTGCATCATGTTTAGATACACTGGAGATGTGAAGGTGCCCTCAGCGAAAAATGAATGGTCCGATTATTTTGTCATGCAAAAGCGTGCAACAAACATTCGCCTTTAGGCTGCCTCTGGTACAATACGGCACCTCACTAGGAGGCTTTGAACCTCAAATTCGCACTTTATGTCAGTTCAATACACCACTCACAAAATCTCGCCTTGTCGGAAAAAGGAAAACATTTATAATAACCATTATCGCTCTCAGTACATAATAACATTTCGACTGCAAAGTCATACCGATTTGTGGCGTCAATGGGCCACAAATCCTAGACAATTTGCACTTTCTATGCACGAAACAATAAACGTTTGTGTAAGATATCACGATGACAACATTTTAGCCTATGTAATTCATGTGAGGGACTTACACACTGATTTCGTGGAACGTTGCGCAAGAGACTTGTCTCACTGCTTCCACCCTGTTGGCTGAGGTTGATGGCCAGTTATCGGTAAGTCAGCAACAGACAGCTACTCTGTTCTTGAACTGGTCAGGCCACGACTTAATGCTCTTGACATTGGGCGGTATATTCCCATACGTTGTCTGAAAGTTCTTCTGCACTGTTATTCCTAACTGGGTCTCGTAATACGAAAGGACACACTGAACTTTTTCCTGATTTCTGAACATGTATGGTTTCCTAGACACTGCAACTACTAAACTACAGCCACGTTACTGAAACTTGCGACCATAGACTTGGTTGGTTTGTCAATATTTTGGCACAAGTTGCATATCTCTATCCCACATATAGCGGATATATATAGTTTGTAATAAGGAGAAGACTTTTCGGACAACCTGGCTATATATATGTATGTATGTGTATATATATACTATGTTGGAGGTGTGAAATTGCTATCATTGTAGCCAAAATATCCGTTATAGTCTCACTGTAATTTGATTCAAGCTTATATTGTTCTTCGCTGTAACACTGCAGTGACTTAATACTTTTCAAACTAAATTATTGACAACACAATACAAATGCCTACATCACTTGTACAATGTAAGCTAATCCTTACTACTAGACCCCCAGCAGTATCATATCAGATTTTCTTATGTTTTGCTGTAATTCATTTCACAATCGGAGATCTATTAAAATGTCATCTCTGAATCAGTCAGCTTGTCATTAAATGTCTCGGCAACTGTAGCATACCTATGTCCAAATCAGCGGTAACGTGCACACAGGTACAGGAAAGTTCGCCATTGCATTTTGCCAATTAATTGAGGCCCGTCTAGTTTTGCATTTTCCTTCTCACAATCTAGAATTGATCTGCGGTCCACCCCTACTAGTCCCAAGAATTTGACATTCCACTCCAGCTTCAAGTTCATAAAGCCTTTCGTTTGAAATGGAACCAAAATGGTCTAACGGTTTTTCTAATGTTCTTTCTGTGACATTTTTAGCTAATTAAACTACACAGAGAGCTAAGAGTAGGGCCTTTTTTATTAAATTATCAAGTGTAACAAATGAAAATCGTTCCTTATCGACATTACGAACTTGGTATCACCTACTTGTAACACCCATATACAAGAATTATTAAAGCACCCCAGTTTATACAAAACACCCACCCCCAAAATACTGTTGTCTTCTAAACCAGATTTTTATACCATATATCATGTTCAAAACGGAGCCCCCAAGCTTAGATTGCGCTATCCTTCTACATTCACTGAAAATATTTCACATACTACTGTGATTAATAGGCACGGTTCCAAGCTCTGGTCCGTAACTGTAGGGCAGAAAAATTCCCAGAAAATCTGGCATGATCACGGGTATGGTCGCCCATATATCGCTGACCACCTTGCAAGGTAAATACTCTATATGTTCTTCGACAAGAATGGCATCAATTTCTTGCTTCACTGGACACGTCTGTACGGACAGTGGTGTTTCCCCTCCAGCAGTGTCACCAAATTTGTCCTCTTATGACCAATGTTCAAAATTTCTTACAGTTTGGTATTTTAACTTGCTTCCTAATTCGTACATCTCTAAGATGATTGTTGCTATTTACGAGGGGTAAAGGGCTCTCAGCTGACCATGTTGTCCACTCCTACATCATTTATGAGGTATAAGTTGCCAAATTGGATCTCTCTGGCATGAACTTTGGAGAAGATGTCAGAAATGGCAGTCTGCAGGCTTATTGTTGCTGCCTGCACTGTGCTGTGGTCACCTTAAGCTGGGGTTGGCAGGAAGCATGCAATAGCGCGATCTTGGCAAGCCAGCCCAGCTGTTTAGGTATTATTCCCGGGGGGGAAGAGTAACGAGGCGGGGACAGCGACTATATAAACCTGGAACAGTGGTGGATCGCGGCCATCTTGCTTCAGCCTGCCAACGGCCCTGCCAGAGCGATTCCAGGAAGGAGGACCACCAGGCCAGTGGTCCGAGTTCGACGCCGTCCTCAGCCGCCGTCGAGAGTCTCCTCGTGGCCTCCTACAGTACTTCCAGGGTAATTATAACTCCTGTTAGGACGTGATAAGTCACGTCAGACGACGGGATAGGGG